GAAGGGGTAGAGGGGAGAAGGCAGAGCAGAGGGGGAGGGGGTATATACTAGGACGGGTAGTGGGGAGGGACAGGGAGTGGCAGAGGGAGAGGGGGGGGGAGAGGACGAGGTCGTGTTGACGGATGAATAGAAAATTTGCTTTGACTCTCGCCCGCCTCGCCTTGCCTTCCCAACTAAGAATAAAAATGAAGACAAGAGCACTATCTTTTTTTTTTTTTTTTTTGGCTTACTGGGGTGCGTTTTAATGACCAGTTCTCTTTGCCTGCCTGCTTCCTTGCCTGCTTGGCTGCACTTCTGCCTGCCTGCCTCGGCCTGTCTGCTTCTGCGTGTCTTTCTGGTTGAGCGAGTAAGTGAGTGAGTGAGTTCTGTACCCGTTCGCCGGCCTGCTTGGGTCGTGTCTCTGTCTGTCTGTCTGTCTGCTGCCCTTGCAAACACCGTGCAATGTAACGGATTTACCAGCACCACATCATCTACCACACAGCCACCTACCACGTCGACTCTTGATCACAGCATCAGCCTTGCTTCATTCAAACGGCATCCCCCACACATCAGCAACGCAGCCCCCAAAGTCACTCATTAATTGCCCTCGCCACGATTGCCACACCTTCAACCGCAACCAAAACCTCTCGTCGCCACAATACGAACCGCATCTATCACAATCACAGCACCGGATTCATTTTCATTTTCCGGAGTCATTACTATGCTGACAACTCAAACTGGCTCCCGTTCCCCCCCAGATTACCCGCCGTTGCCGCAAGAATCCGATTCAGTCACAATCATTACAACCACAATAGCCTACCTAGCCTACCTCACCGCCGACCGCATTTAACACAACCACTATATCATCCTGTCAAGTGTCGAAGCCAAAATGCCACCGACACAAACACACACAGACACACACACACACACACAGATTGACTTAATCTCTCTCTCTCTCTCTCTCTCTCTCTCTCTCTCTCTCTCTCTCTCTCTCTCTCTCTCTCTCTCTCTCTCTCACTCTTGCTATTTTTCTATTGTTTTCTCCCTCTCCCTCTCACCTACCCACCCTCCCTGCTCCCTCCCTCCCTCCCACCCACCCTCCCTGCTCCCTCCCTCCCCCTCCCTGCTCCTCCCTCCCTCCCTCCCACCCTCCCTGCTTCCTCCCTCCCTCCTCTTCTCTGTCGTATAAAGTTCGTAACAAACAAGAAGCAGACAAGGCACCGCCATAATAGGTACAAGCAATTATATACCGTTTTTTTTTGAGCTGAATTCTGTAAATATGCCTTGATGTGATTTGCTTTTCAATTATCCGAGAAGAAAATAAAATATGTATTTTATATTCTTTTGTATTTTCATTATTAGTTTGCGAGTTTGTTTCTGCATTTTTTCCATTTTTCTCTTTTGGCTTATACATATATATTTATTTATAAATATTTATATATATTTATATATATTTTTATATATATATATATATATATATATATATATATATATATATATATATATATATATATCTTACTTCTTTGTTTGGTTGTTCGATGACGCAGTAATATAATCGAAAAAAAAAAAAAAAAAAAAATAGCAGTGTCCCCCCTCCTCCCCCCCTCCCTCCTCTCCATCGACTCCTCCTCTCGAATTCTTATTCTTTTCTTCTCTTTTATCCCTCTCATTTCTTATTACTTTCCCTTTCGCTCATCCTCCTTCCCGCTCTCCCTCCCTCTCTCCATCTTCCTCTTCCTCTCTCTCCTCCTACCCCTCTTCCTCTCTCTCTCTCTCTCTCTCTCTCCTCCTACCCCTCTTTCTCTCTCTCTCTCTCTCTCTCTCTCTCTCTCTCTCTCTCTCTCTCTCTCTCTCTCTCTCTCTCTCTCTCTCTCTCTCTCTCTCTTCTCTCTCTTTCTCTCTCTCTCCCCCTTTCCTTCTCCTTCTCTCTCCCCGTCTTCCCCTCCTTCTCCTTCTCCCTCTGCCTCTCTCCCCCTCCCCCCTCTCTCTCTTCCTCTCCCCCTCCCCTTTCCCTCCCTCCATGCCGGCGTCTCCCTCATCTTCAAATAATCCCAACTGATACATAAAAAAAAAGAAAAAAGAAAAAAAAAAGATGGTCAATGAAAGAAAGCCAAGAAGTAAAGAGGTAAGGTAATAAGTGAGGCGTCTGTTTGTCTGTTTGTCAGTCTGTTAGTCTGTCAGTCAGTCAGTCAGTCAGACAGTCAGACAGTCTGTCAGTCAGTCAGACAGTCTGTCAGTCGGTCAGCCAGTCTGTCAGACAGTCAGGCAGTCTGTCAGACAGTCAGTCAGTCAGTTTGCCTGTCCAGCCATCCGCCTGTTAGTCAGTTAATCAGTCAGTCAGGCTTAATTTCAGTCTAGCTTTATCTGCCTGTCTGTATCGCTTGCTCCCTTAAATATCCCAAACACACGAACAAAGACAAGAACAAACACCCACAAAAAAGACCTGTGCACACAAACAAACACACACAAAAAAAGTGAATTAACACAAATCACGTCATTTTCTTTGTCACGTTATCTGTCA